GAGTGAATCACTGAAACAGGATGACTGCTGGAGATTTACAGTACACACATGGTGATCCAGATAAAATTCATTTTTCCTGATGAGTGAATCACTGAGACAGGATAACTGCTGAAGATTTACAGTATATGCATGGTGATTCAGATAAATTCATTCATTCTGGCGAGTGAATCACTGAATCAGGATGACTTCTGGAAATGTACGGTACACACATGGTGATTCAGATAAAATTCATTCTTTCTGACGAGTGAATCACTGAAACAGGATGACTGCTGTTGATTTACAGTACACACATGGTGATTCAGATAAAATTCATTCTTTCTGACGAATGAATCACTGAAACAGGATGACTGCTGGTGATTTACAGTACACCCATGTTGATTCAGATAAAATTTATTCATTCTGACGAGTGAATCACTGAAACAGGATGATTGCTGATAATTTACAGTACACACATGGTGATTAAGATAAAATTCATTCTTTGTGATGAGTGAATCACTAAAACAGGATGACTGCTGGTGATTTACATTTAAAAAACATGGTGATTCAGATAAAATTCATTCTTTCTGACGAGTGAATCACTGAAAAAGGATGACTGCTAGTGATTTACAGTAACATCACATGGTGATTCAGATAAAACCGTATCTTACGACGAGTGAATCACTGAAACAGGATGACTACTGGTGATTTACAGTAACATCACATGGTGATTCAGATAAAACCGATTCTTTCGACGAGTGAATCACTGAAACAGGATGAGTGCTGGTGATTTACAGTAACATCACATGGTGATTCAGATAAAACCGATTCTTTCGACGAGTGAATCACTGAAACAGAATGACTGCTGGTGATTTACAGTAACATCACATGATGATTCAGATAAAACCGATTCTTTTGATGAGTGAATAACTGAAACAGGATGACTGCTGGTTATTTACAGTAACATAACATGGTGATTCAGATAAAACCGATTCTTTCGACAAGTGAATCACTGAAACAGGATGACTGCTGGCGATGTATTAGTATCATCACATGGATTTTCAATCCTATCCCACATAATCTGTAGAAAATTCAGATATATTTCAAAGTGAATTGCCCCAAACACTGAAAAGGACACTTTTCATTTTTGGCAAAATATGACCTTGATTTTCAACTTTAACATAAATATCAAAAAGGCCATAATGTGGTTCTTATGTGGATCTATTTCAAAAGCCTTAAAGGTAGGCAAGACAGTTCATTATAGGCCACCAAAGTCGGCACATTTTGGACAAATTGTCAAAATACTGTTATTGTGTGCATTGCCGTACGGCCTTTAACAATTAACAAAACTCATACCTCTTAGCAAGCAATTATATTCGACAAAATTAAAGCAATTCAAATGAGAAAACCAACTGCCTGATTTATGTTTAAAACAATAAGCGAAAAACAAATATGTTATACAGTAACAAACGACAGCCAATGCATTACAGACTCTGGATAGGCACATGCACATGCAGAATATGGCGTGGTTTAAATGTTTACGGGTTGCAAACCATCCCTTTGCCTTAACCTGAGCAGTAGTGTAACAGCAACATACTATAAAAATTAGTTGAAAATGAATTGACTAATCATATCGATACAAAGCAAAATAATCAAGTCACAAAAACACCAAAGACACAAAGAATTGATCTATGAGTATTTTCCAAGCCAATAACAACTAATAATAAATGGAATTCTGCTGCTAATATTCATCTTATTCTCTGTGATTTCTCCTCTAGTCTAACCAAATAACATTAAACATGTTTTGTGAGATCTCAACCCTCCCCCTATACCTCTAGCCAATGTAGAATAAAGAAACACATATCAATACGCACAGTAAAACTCAGTTTAAAAGAAGTCCGAGTCCGATGTCAGAATAGGTAAAAAAAGAAACTAAGCAAGATGACAATGATACATAAATTAACAAAGGACTACTAGCAGTTACTGACATGCCAGCTCCAGACCTCAATTAAACTGATTAAAAGATTATGTCTTCATCATATGAAAATCAGGTACAATCCCTCCCGTTAGGGGTTTAGTATCGTACCATCATAAAATATATGAGAAGAACATAACCCGTATCATGCAAACAACTGGTTTTAGAATAAATGTGTTTATTTCCGATGCAAAGACCCTATTACCTGCATAAAATGCGATATAAGAGATATTCATCCGCAAACACAGTTTTTCGGTACATGTGCATAGATATTTACGGAGCCCCGCTAGGGACATGCAAAGAAAAAGAATTTGAAAACAAATTAAACAGTAAACCAACTAGGTAGCATTGGCAAAGTGAGTAGGTTGAAAAGAAGGGAAGAAAAATTGGACTACTACTTTAAAATGATTGAATGTTGCCTATTGCTAGAATTTTGCCTAATTTCTTCAACTTCTTAACCTCATAAAGTTATTAGAGTTATGTTACCTATATACAATGACAAAATACAAGACCCTATGAGTGAATCAATATTAATACCAAAATATGCAATCCTTAATGATCTGACAACAGTATCGTAACTATATCCCTTCCGAATAAGTCTGTTTAAAGGTTTGGTTAGCTTTTGATGTGAATGCCGACATTTTTGTGCTTTGTAAAGAATATTACCATAAAATATTGGATGTGAAATACCTGAACGTATTTGATGTCTGCATGTTGATTTATATTTACGAATGATGTCCTTGTACCGATGATAAAATTTAGTAATCCATACCAATTTCGAAATTTTGAATTTCTTAAAAACAACAATTTCAATTTAGATCGTTTGACTTACAATATAGATTCAAATATGTAATTTGCTTTTTATTTGCTCATTTGAAAAGAACTGAGGCAATCGTTCTTGGAAGTAACCTAACTAATCCATGATTAACTTAACCAAACTATGACAAAATCACTGAGCTAAACGCTCCTCGATATGACGACCTTACTACCCATGATACTGACAGCATGCGAGAATAAAAGTACATGTCCAATCGATATATTAAATCTATTCTTTAATAGATTCAATCAAACAGTTTACGTTTTGTAGAATATAATTATTGATGATTAGAGAACAACGAATGATTTCATTAACAACCAAGAGGAAACAGCAAAGCACTATGTTCAAAATTCGTAAATTCTTTTTTAATATATAAACCAGTCAATAATCTCTGATTGAATCACATGGACTCTTATACGGAGCGAGACCGGATGCGTCGACAGGGTAACTGTTTCCCACTGTACATGCCTCGAACGTCATGCGGATCCATATGTTCTTAGAATTTCACCGTCTTTTGAGATCTGGTCAGAGACTTTAAACAAGCCCATCATGAGCGCTTATCCAGTGTGTATTACAATCATAGTACCGTATAGCGGAGTTATTTTCGCGGGGTGTTTATTTTCGCTTATTTTGGCGGGTGAGGGGGAATCACGAAAATAAATTTCGCGAAAATTTATGCATACGTTCGATACTTTCTAATAGCTAAAACATTTTGTAAACTATCTATTTTTTTTCCCGTTCGACGGATCAATAACGGTTTATGTTAATTCAAACAAAATAAATGCAAAAGGCGATTGTTCACTGGCTATCAGGTGTTAATTAGTTTATTGGTTACATAATAAAATAAATAATAATATGAGAGTGTAAGGTACGCTTGTCAGGTATTTCATCCTTATTAATTAGTGTCAAATTATATAACAGTTGCAAGTCACTCATGATAATTTTATAATCTAATTAGTACATCAAAGGTCCGGTCAATTTTGTAACTAATTAATCGTAACATTTACAAGAAGTTTGTATACCTGTGACAAATAACTATGTTCCGGTATTCTATTGATTAACTGTATTAAAATATAATCAATAAATGAAACGTCATGCAGGTAAAACAATCATTTAACCATAACAATAGACCCTTGTTTGTCAATTTTTACAACTTTTTAACTGCAACCATTTCATTATCCGCCAAAATATTTAATTGGGATTAAATAATTCGCCAAAATAAAAACCGCCAAAATTTTTCGTATACTTAGTTGCCCCTAAATCGCGAAATTTTACACCCGCGAAAATAACCCGCTATACGGTAATTCACAAATATATATTTGAACAGATGCAATTAATATGAATAAGCAAAGACATAATTTCTTTTTAGAATAACATAAATTGCCATAAAAAAAACCAAGAAAACAAAAGGGAAAGGTCAATTCTGATCGCAATGATTTCAAAATAACGTACAGAATAGGAAAACTAGAAAACCAAAAGAGAAACAATAATTCAAAATAACTGACTGTACTCCCAACGTAAACTGCAAGACCCATCTTAACCCCGTAGCTACCAACTTACAGTTATTCATACATATATATAATTCCTACCGTATTCAGATCTATTATGCAATAATTGTAACGAAATTTCTTGTATTTCATGTGTTACTTCATGTCAATTAAATGCATGAGAGCAGTCGTGAACTGTCTCAATTTGTTGGACTGTGGTCGATACCTCTGCTGTTTGAAGAAATGATTTTATTATCGTAAACATAGATATGTTGCTATTAACAATTATTTTCTCTGCAGAAAGTAGTGCTATATATCTATTTTTATGGGTTCATAAGGAGTACAACACCAACATTCTTTTTCCTTTGGTTGTCAAGGACGTTTAAAACATCCATCATCATCATGCAATTCCTTCGTTAATGACAAGACAAGACAAGACAAGACAAGACCATTTTTTACAACGTAGTTACACGTATGGTGCTACAAGAGGAAAAAAATTATAAATTAACAATTACATAATTATACATTTGCAAGCAAGACACACAATAAATAAATTAGCGATATCATACAATAGGATTGAAATATACCATATTAGGTTGATTTTTTTGCAATATTTTGAATTGCAACGTGAATAAAATTTTATTTTAATACTACATGGTAACATGATATAAATTATGAAAATATTTTTTCTAAATGGCTTAAAAACGTGCACAGTTTTTTTAATAACGTATGGACCAATAAAAAACCCACAACAATAACACTCCCATGCATAAGGCAACATAATTTCTTTAGTGGTCCATTGAGCAGACTCATTTAGATGTTTGAGCTATAACCATCGTCGTTTCAGGCATTCTCTTGATTACCTTTCAGATAGCTAACATGGGAAAAACTGCTCTGCTAGTTTTGTTTGTGGCAATAACAATGATTAATCAGTATAAAGGTAAGTGTTTATTTTTAAGGACTTTTTGATAATGATAAAGAATTTTACAAATAATTAATTGTTATTTTTCTGGATTGTTTCTTGTTTTTTCGTCGTTTTATTTCTGGTCTGAAAGAGAATAAATAGGTAAATTTAGCCAAATGCGAAATTATATCGAAAGGAAAGTGTTGCTCAGTATTCTTTTTCAAATACCAATTAATTAAAATTGAGATTAACAGTTTGTTTTCATCCTATGTTTACGAAACACTAACACATTATTGTATCAAAATGTTCTTCAACACAAATGTTTAGTACATAGTACATTAAGAATCTATTTTATCTTTGTGAGAATATGACTTTGGGGTTCGTGTTGTTCAATTGCTATTTTTCTTTGAAGAAGTGATTTTATGGATTTTTTCCTTTTTTCGTCGTTTTACTTCTGGTCATTATCTTGATTATCTGGTTTAACCAGTGATCCATTCAACAAGAACATAATATTTTACCTCTTAAAGATTTTCGTAGAAGTACAGGGTTTGGTTTATTTATCTCTGGAATAATTTGTTATAACATTTTACAGGCGAACCGAATTTTGCATGCGCTGGACGAGGTGGATATTGTTCCGTTTCTGATACATGTCCATCATTAGGAGGTTATGTGGAAAAACTAGCCTTTAAGTGCACGTGTGGTAAAGCATGTTGCAAATGTACTGGTAAGTTAAGAATTTATTTCAGCAATAATCATCGTAGGATTTCATATTAACCGACATAATTATTGTTAATGCCTATTTGCAAACCATGCATACAAATGTGAGACAATAAACTGTATACATACACAAAATTTATTCATTGGGAAGATATTCTGTGTCGACAAGAATTGTATATTTAAAAGGAATGGAAACGCGGCCGACTTCAAAGAAAATTTTATGATGCATCTCTGACTTGGGTGGTGTGTTAATTACACCCCGTCGCTCTAACTGGCTTTTTACTTATCTGGTAGCAGTTATCGAACATGGTCATTTAATCAGACACCAGTTATCTCACTTTATAAGCGCTCTCCGGTAAAGAAGGTAAATAATTCACGGCGATATTTTTTTCTTCTTGGGCATGTTTCTGTAATAAAAAATAATGAACTAAAATCCTTCTGAGGGGCATTTTGTTTCAATTTGCCTGGTGTAAAAAAAAATCATAATTGGGTTTTTTTAGAAGATCATTCGAAATACATATTTTATTGAAGAGTAATGGTACTTACATAGTGCAGTACGAAAGTGGTATAGTAGGTGATATAATAATGAAACCAAAAATAAATTAAATAACCAACAAAAAAAAAATATCACAATACAACCACATGTAAAGTTACTTATGAAAAACGTTTTCATTCTTGTTTTTTATCTTGATATTTCATGAAGGTATGTGTTCTGGAACTCATTCATCATTTGTTCTTCATGTGATCATCATTTTATATCGTTTATGTTTCATTGCGTACATCACTTTATATGCTCCGGTTTTAGGAGTTTTATACAGGACAGTGTAGGAACCCATGTTACTTTCCCTTCTCTTCTGAGTGACGAAAACTGCTCAGCATGCCGTGTGCACAACTGCTAGGAACATTCAGCGGACACGTTTTCCAAAGGAACAATTCGTGGCTAACCACAGCGTGAGTTACCTTTAAAACATTACAAATTATGTCTTTACATCAGCGATGAACTGTTTTAATATGTTTTCCTATGTTATAAAGAAACTATAATCATTTAACCGTTCAAACTGTTCGTATCTGCGATTACACAATTTAATTCAGACAGAACCCGTCGTGTGCAAGAATATTCATCTATTTATTATTATAAAGAACATTAACAGCTTTATAAATCTACGAACTGTTTAACGTATTTTTAATGGACTTTAAATATCATTGAACACATTGTAAAATTGTATTTATATTTGTATTTTCAGTTTTTCACCATTTGGATTGGTAGTAAAATAAAAGTCAGCTCCTGATTGTTTTATCTTTACATAAACCCAGTCATCTTGGTTAAACTCGCTGGTCCGGCCAGTACAGTGAAAAAGCTACAACGTGCCTGTTGTTTTTCTTGGATAACGTACGCCACTCCACGACAGTCAGCAGACCCATAAGTTATAACGTAGTTTCAACGACAACGTTTCGTGCTAGTAAATTGACAACAACTTGTCTACACATCTCCTGATCAGGAAATACAACGGAGCATCGTTCGTAGGTGTTACCTTGACACTACGCAACACAGCTTGTGTTTTGGCAGCAAACAAACAACGTTGAGCCATCATGGATCCCAGTCAAGCGGAACAGCAAGAAGAGGTTCAGCCCCCAGAGGGAGATGTCCCTGAAGAACTTATAGAGAATCCGTCTAATACCACACATTTAGATGAAAATCCCGAGACGAGGCGAGTACGAGACCTCACGGAAAAAGGTAAAGGAGCTTTCACAGAAAAACGTGACAAGTTCTGTCAGGAACTAGAGGCCCTCTGGTCAGATGTAGAGTCCCAGTTATCGGAAGTCACCACGCCTCCTAACAAGATCCAGCAAATCTTGACAGCCCAGGATAACCTTGTTAAAGCCTGCACAAATTATCGTAGGCTCACAGATGAGTACCTGGACTTTCTGAAAAGGACCAGAACATTGGACAGTCAAAAAGACATAGACGCATGCAATCTCACATTGGATATTCGTCTGTCCAAAGTGGACCATGCCCTAGAAACATTGCACGAACATCGGCTCGACCTGACACAGGCTAAATCTACTAAAACAAAGACCTCAAAAAGTAAGAAAACCTCACATAGTGGTAGCTCTAACGTGTCTGACATGTCAAGCCTAGCACGGAGGAAGCGTGCCAAAGCAGAGGCCGCTAAATCAAAAATAGCCTTTGTCGAACAACATGCACTTATCCTACAACAGGAGGCAATGTTAGAGGAACAAGCCCTGTTCAGACAAACTGAAATGGAACAGGAAGCCACTCGCAAAAAGGCTGAAATGGAGCATGAAGCAGAGCAAGAGGCCATACGCAGGAAAGCACAAATTAAACAGGAGGCCGCACGTGTCAGCCGGGAAAAAACCGAGCTGAAAGCCAAGTTAAACCTTCTAGAAGCACAGAAAGAAGCTGCAGCCGCAGAAGCCGAGGCTCGTATCCTAGAGTACGATGACAGCCAAGCGCTAGACGATCTCCCTAAAGAGACGGAAGACCCGCTCCAACGTGTGCAAGACTTTGTTAATAAACATCCTGAACCAACCGCCATACAGGAAGCGACAGCCCCTCAACAGAAAAAACAAACGTCTGTTAAGATTGAGCTAAGTCATGAAGCGCCAGACTTCGTGCCCTCCGTGGCATTGAACCTGCCATCACAGACACCTGCGGTCTTGCCTACACATGCTAAGTCACCAGAAGTTAATGTATTCCCAGATATGGGAACACTAACTGGCATAGAAAAACAAGGCATTATTGAAGAGATCCCTGTCTTACAACAAAAACAAGGCGTCATAGAAGAGATCCCTGTCTTACAACAAAAACAAGGCGTTATAGAAGAGATCCCTGTTTCACACCAAAAACAAGGCGTAATAGAAGAAAACCCTGTTGCATACCAGCAACAAATCAATCCTACGTCGGAGATAACCAGATTTCTCCTACGCAAGGACCTGTTGTTCTCCCGGCTAACAAGCTTTAACGACCGGGCAGAATCCTTCCATACATGGAAAGCCAGCTTTAAAAACGTCATAGACGAATTACAAGTTTCGGACTCGGAACAGATAGACCTACTTATTAAATGGCTTGGACCAGAGTCTGCCAAACATGCCATGAGTATAAGGGCATCAAATGCCAACAACCCAACAAGAGGCCTACAGAGACTATGGGAGAGACTTGACGACCGATATGGTGCTCCAGAAATGTTGGAGGCGTCTCTCGTTAACAAACTCGTCAACTTCCCAACACTGACGAATAAGGACAACTCACTCCTTTACGATTTGTCAGATATTATCTCAGAAATAGAATATCACAAGGAAAATCCCAAGCTGGGATGTTTGCTTGCGTATTTCGACTCTTCATCCGGGATAAATCCTATAGTGGAAAAACTGCCATACGGACTCCAAGAAAAGTGGATAACAAGGGCTTCAAGATACAAGTCTAAATATGAAGTTGCATTTCCACCTTTCACAGAATTCTCTGCCTTCATCAGAGAAATTAGCAAAATAAAGAACGATCCTGGGTTCATTTTTGGGTCAATAGTCAAACCAAGTACAAAAGGTGCTGCGCCAAAGTTCACACCTCAAACATATTCTAAAGTCAATGTTCATAAGACAGCAGTTGAACAGCAACCTGGAGACAGCAGTGAACAACAAAGTCTTTGCATATTGCATAATACAAAGCATACCTTAAACGAATGCCGAGCGTTCCGTGCCAAATCAATCGAGGAACGCAAGGAACTGTTGAGGCAAAACAATCTTTGTTACAAATGCTGTGATTCCACTATGCACAGAAGTCGTGATTGCAAGGCAAGTATCAGTTGCAATGAATGCGGAAGTAAACAACACACCACCGCATTACACACAAATCGAGTGTACCAACCCAAAGGTGCACCGCCTTCACCGCCTAGATCAGTCGACGGCGTGGAGCTAATTGATACAGCCTACGGCGGGGAGCAACTTGAGTTAGCTGAAACCAAGCTAACCTCTGTTAGTTCAACTTGCACAGATATCTGTAAAGATGGCAACAGTAGTAAATCTTGTGCCAAGATACTCCCTGTGAATGTCTTTCACAAAAATAATCAGGACAAAGTAATTCGCATGTATGAAATTATTGACGACCAAAGCAACCGGTCTCTCGCCGCTCCTGAATTCTTCAGCCTATTCAACGTACAGGAAGAAACAAAAGACTATATGTTATCCACATGCTCCGGCAGCAAGGTTACTTCCGGAAAACGAGGAAACGGCTTTGTCGTAAAGTCTGTACAAGACAATACTAGATTCAATCTGCCTGAACTGATTGAATGCGATAACATTCCCAATAATCGGAACGAAATTGCTACAACTGAGGATATATTGCAATATCAACACTTGCAAGAACTACAAAAAAATATTCTCCCGATTGATGGAAAATGCAAAATCCTATTGCTCATTGGAAGAGACCTAATAGAGGCACATCACGTCCTTGATCAACGTCTAGGACCACCAAAGTCTCCATTTGCGCAAAAGTTAAACCTGGGTTGGATTATCGTTGGTGAAATACGCTCCGATAAGCAACATGTTCACCTTGAACTCACTACAAAGGAAACAAATCCAGCTTGCAGTGTTGTGAAACCACATACAAAGAAATTACCTGAGTGTAATAAAACCAACACCCAGTCAAATGGAATTCGAACTGATTCGTTTAAACAATATCCCCGTTTACATGGGCAACCAAAAACGAAATCAGCGACTTCGATCGTCAAATTTGCAGAAGACGAAAAGTTCATTTTGGAAGCAACATCACCAAAAGTGAATGCCGACAAAGAAAAGTACATCCGAAAATATTCAATTCCCAAGGAAAGCTTCAATTTGCCTTTGGATACGCAAGGACAAGAGGAAAGTAGAATAGACGATTCGGACTTTAGTCACAGAGAAAAGGAACATGGCACCGGCTGGTCTACTGTATGCCGTAAACGTAAAGGAAAGCGTCCGTTTTGCAAGACGTCCCCGTTGGATCGCATATCTGTATCGAAAGGAGATTCATCCATCAGAACTACAGCCATGGAATTGGATCTTAGATCGCCGCGATCTCGTCGGAAACACCACCTTATCTAAGAAAGAAGCTGTGAAATACCCAGCCTCCCGTTGGATTACTTCCAAGTTCATATAAGTGGAACTTTGGACGGCTGTTATATATTTAACATTTTATTTGTTTTAATAATGGAATAGTGATGTCAGATAGACCTCAGACGGGGAGTGTTCTGAAACTCATTCATCATTTGTTTTTCATGTGATCATCATTTTATATTGTTTATGTTTCATTGCGTACATCACTTTATATGCTCCGGTTTTAGGAGTTTTATACAGGACAGTGTAGGAACCCATGTTACTTTCCCTTCTCTTCTGAGTGACGAAAACTGCTCAGCAAGCCGTGTGCACAACTGCTAGGAACATTCAGCGGACACGTTTTCCAAAGGAACAATTCGTGGCTAACCACAGCGTGAGTTACCTTTAAAACATTACAAATTATGTCTTTACATCAGCGATGAACTGTTTTAATATGTTTTCCTATGTTATAAAGAAACTATAAACATTTAACCGTTCAAACTGTTCGTATCTGCGATTACACAATTTAATTCAGACAGAACCCGACGTGTGCAAGAATATTCATCTATTTATTATTATAAAGAACATTAACAGCTTTATAAATCTACGAACTGTTTATCCGTATTTTTAATGGACTTTAATTATCATTGAACACATTGTAAAATTGTATTTATATTTGTATTTTCAGTTTTTCACCATTTGGATTGGTAGTAAAATAAAAGTCAGCTCCTGATTGTTTTATCTTTACATAAACCCAGTCATCTTGGTTAAACTCGCTGGTCCGGCCAGTACAGTATGTAACAATGAGATGAAATCGGACATTTATCGAGTTTTAAATAGTTTTCATGCAAAAGAAAGGAAATGTAAAAATGTAACTAAATGACTTTTCAATTGTGAAATATGACTGATAAAGAAAGAAGTTAATAAATCAATATGAAGGAAGAAAAAAGTAAACAGCTGCAGTATTATCTCGATAAAAGAACTTAGATTACAGGTGTTATAATAAACAATGACATGGGTTGTTCCAATTTGCAGGTATAATATATCATGTATCAATGACAAGCTAATTTGTGTCTTATATACTTAAGATGTCAAAAATTAATCACGCCGAGCTCACCTGTTAATTAATGCTAAATTATGCCGAGATGCAATAAAAATTTTAATTAGAAACAGTTAAAACTTTCCCACATTCGCATATTATTTATTTTAACACCGAAGGAATATTTTTTGCGACCTCTAGACTACTGCTCTGCGAGAAAAAAGGAAGGAACTGTTTTACTGTTAAGCGTATGGTAATTTGCGGCAACGCTTAATAATGGCAAACTGCAATACCAAACAACGATTTAGTATAAAAAAATAGTATTTGACAAAAAAAAAATGAATAAAATCGTATATAAAACGGCACAATCAATCCCAATCGGAAGTCTTATATATATATTTCTTGCCTGTAATTTCCGACTTCGTCGTTGTGGAACTTGACTGAACAAAATGGCGTCAATGTGAACTATAAACATGGGATTTTGAAAAATCATAGCAGATTCGTTTGTATCACCATTTTCATAAAACCAACACTATGTGATAGAAAAAAGATTAAGCTTTTAAGTTGTATGTCAATGTCACATCTATTTCAAGTAGTTATTTAACCCTTACCAAAATACGAAGTGTCGATGTATTTATTGACGCACTACTTCAAATTTACAACATATTTCGAAATAAAATCATTTTCATTGTACCAATTACATTTAGCATTCGTAATTTAGACCAAACTGTAGGAAAATATTCCATCTTTAAAATGATATCTCATTTTCTCACTTTCCAATATTTAAAAGAAATCGTAGTACACACCCAGATTGATAGACATATTTTGACAGAATAATGAAATTCAAAACTGAAATTTCGAAAAATCGTAGAAAATTCAGAAATTTTACCAGAAAATTAAAAAAAGGGCAAAATGATAGAATAAGGTTTCAGCTTCATAATGATATCAACTGTTTTGTTTTGCACTTCGTAGTTGTCGAGCTTTTAGAAAAAAATCAAAACACAGTATTTTTTGTTTTGTAATCCGGATGAAACTCGATCAAGTTTCAAGACCAAGATCTATTTTAATGAGAATTTACATAATACAATATTACAAACGTATGTTTGATGGGGCATTAAAATGATACCTAAGGCCTTACCTTTTTCATGGAATAAAAGTTTATTCTTGATTTTGGGTTTCTCTCTACTTTTCATCTTCTCAAGCAAGATGACCCCGTGAATTAAAAGACCGATCTATATGACAGGAAATGGACCTCCGTCATGATTCTTTATATTATTCATCATACTTCCTACTGAGTCAGACATGGATTATAGCTCTGCGGGTGCTCTGCGGGTATCCCGATTGATCTCGAGCCGCGTTTCCATTCCTTTGAAATATACAATTCCTTAGTGTCGGCCAAATTTTCAACAATTATTCTGAATGAATTGAAAACAAAGTATAGAAATTTCATGACATAAATTAAGGACACATTAGTTTGCCAATCTTCAATTTCGTATATTGATTAACATGATTAAGAAGATACAAATCAAGGCAACAAGCGAAAACCCAGGGAATCACATGAACTGACAGAGAAGCGCGGCCGGGTGGGTCAACAGCGTAATCATCTTCTGCCATGCAAGCTAAGACGACCAGTCTTAAACTTTCCCTCTTGGCAATGCAATTTTAACCTAAGCGTCAAATCAGAAAGATGAATTGTTTTGCTAATATGTCGTTATTCTCGTCATCGATAAGAGGGACATTATGTTTTTATGTTATTTTCGTCTGTCCGTCTGATAGTCCATTCGTCTCGTATCAGGTTTATTAAACGTTTTGTTTTTGTTTTTTAGGGTAGTTTAATTGTTGTCATGTCAACTTGAAACTTTGTACACATGTTCATTATGGAGTGAACTTTGTACACATGTTCATTATGGAGTGAACTTTGTACACATGTTCATTATGGAGTGAAATTTGTACAGTTGTTCATTATGGAGTGAAATTTGTAATAGTTATACTGAATTAAGATATTGACAAAATTTCAAAGTCACTGAACATCGAAATAAGACAGTTGGGGCATTGTGTTTTCTGTGGAAGCTTATTCTTATTGTTTTTTTTTTAATATTTTAAGTCATGTATGAGGTTAAGAGTATTAAAAATTCTAAGGTAAATTAAAACAGGTGCAGTCCAGAAAAACTGACAAAACCAAACGCTCGACTATATCAATCAACGGAAAGACTGAAAAATTACTGTCATATTCCTGACTTTGGATAGGCATTTTCCAACAAAAATTTACTGATGATTTTATAATGTTGATAACAATGTTATAACAAGAAACAATAACAAAGCCGCTATACTTTAAAAATTATAACGCTCGTTACCAATTATGACTTATTTTTAAGAATCTTATCAGATGCCACTGCAGGGAGAGGTTTCCTCCCCGAGAGTATATCACCATCCCAGCAGCGAGAACTTCAATATTGGCATGAATTATCATTGATATGGTCATAATTAACTGTTTACAAAACTTTGAATTATTCGAAATACTATATTATACCCGAAGATTCGACTACATTAGCTGTATTTGGCAAAACATTTCGGAAATTCTTAGTCGTCGGTGCTCTTCAACTTCATACTTTTTTTGTGTTTGTTTCATTCGTGCGTCATTGACGAGTCGTATGTAGACGAAACCCGCGAGTGCCGTACAAAATTGTAATTATGGAGGTTTTTTTAAAATCTTTTTTTTCAATGAAGCTTGAGAGGGCTGATGTATTTGTGTTTTTTGTTTTTTTTTTGTTTTTTTTGCTACTTTGGTATCTCTTTAAAATATGACTTTAGATTTAGTTAATATTTTATTTTATTAATTCAACACAAAGCAGTCTCTGCTGTGAGAAATCTGTTAGTCACTCATCATTTTATTCATAGACACATGTCCTGATGGTTCTACATGTATGAGTGCAGATGAAACCTGTGAAGGAAAAAAAGATACAAACGGATGTTGTGGCACCAGGTTTTGTTGTACACCTATCAGGACAACGACACCTGAACCAACGACAACTACCAGGACAACGACAACTATCAGGACAACGACACCTGAACCAACGACACCTATCAGGACAACGACACCTGAACCAACGACACCTGAACCAACGACAACTATCAGGACAACGACAACGACACCTGAAATATGTAGTAAGTAATTTATGGATGTTTGCTCCTCTTGTTTTTGAATTTTTGCCAGATATTCGGAATCCTCTGGTTTTATACATGTAGTGCCATTAAAAATTAAGTTATAAATATGTAGTAGGTAGTTAATATGTTGTTAGTAATTAATATGTAGTAAGTAATTAATATGTAGTAAGTAATTAATATGTAGCTATCACATATAATCCAAAAATGTCAGGCGGAACATTTATAAAAAATTACACTTGATTAATAGTCACTTACAAAGTCGAAAACTGGTGTACTGATTGAATCTCATTAATAAACAATTTTTCCTCTGATGCAATAGACAAGGAAGTCAATATACAAAAAATAAGAATACGTTTTCATTTATTTGTTTTACATAGCAGAAAGTCAGTAAACAGCATGAATAGTTAGACTCAATTGTCAAATCCTACACACTGCACACAACAAAATCAACTACTCTATTCAATTAGAAGATCATTCATCAATATAAAGTTCGACAGACGAATTCACTAGATAATGCATACATAACATATAAGACAATAAGAGGTACAAATGCATCAGATGGCCATTTCGACAAATAATGTATCTTCAGTGGTGCTCGGTGCCATATATTTCCAAATAAATCCCAAACTTAATAAAAACTTTGAATAACTGATTCAACAAAAAATGATTAATTTTTATATATGTCGTTAATCTATATCGTTATGTTGCTGTCACATCTACGTTAACCCTTTAAAAAAATCATATTTAAGTGTTTTCTTTTACCTGTCAGTTAAATCCCTGAAAGTTTTTGATTTAAAACAGTTTTTGCTTTATTTTTGGATAAATACCTACTTTCTTCTCTTTATTCCATTTGAAAACTGGAAAAGAAATATTTCTTCAAATTGTACAATATTTTTTTTCTTTTCAGTAAATTGGCGATTTTGCAATGAAGGACTCAATTGTCAACATTTTTATTCATTTGAAATGTGTAAACTGCTTTTACATAGCTAATGGCATTTCTATCATCAATATATTAACATTACAAAAAAATTAAGCCAAACTGTAGAAAGTAATATATTGTTAGCGTAATTGGTATATTTATAACTTTGTCGGTACGTTTTTATTGTTCTCAAACGCCCCAAAAGAATCGACCTCAGGTAATCCATGATCCTATGTCGTTGTCCCTGAAAAGGTGTACGTCATAAATACATGCAGATAACATTTCGTTTTCGTTTTACAAACCCCAAATATTCAATTTAAGGTCGTCATTTATAAAATATTATAAAACGTTTGAAAAAAAGATAATTATGATAACTGCTATTCTCGAATAAGGAATATGAGAATAACAAAACCTATCCTTATTTAATGGGTGGTAGGGGAGAACGTGTTGAGAATAACAAAACCTATCCTTATTTAATGGGTGGTAGGGGAGAACGTGTTGAGAATAACAAAACCTATCCTCATTTAATGGGTGGTAGGGGAGAACGTGTTGAGAATAACAAAACCTATCCTCATTTAATGGGTGGTAGGGGAGAACGTGTTGAGAATAACAAAACCTATCCTCATTTAATGGGTGGTAGGGGAGAACGTGTTGAGAATAACAAAACCTATCCCCATTTAATGGATGGTAGGGGAGAACGTGTTGAGAATAACAAAACCTATCCTCATTTAATGGGTGGTAGGGGAGAACGTGTTGAGAATAACAAAACCTATTCTCATTTAATGGGTGGAAGGGGAGAACGTGTTGAGAATAACAAAACCTATCCTCATTTAATGGGTGGTAGGGGAGAACGTGTTGAGAATAACAAAACCTATCCCCATTTAATGGATGGTAGGGGAGAACGTGTTGAGAATAACAAAACCTATCCCCATTTAATGGGTGGTAGGGGAGAACGTGTTGAGAATAACAAAACCTATCCTTATTTAATGGGTGGTTGGGGAGAAAGTGTTGAGAATAACAAAACCTATCCGTATTTAATGGATGGTAGGGGAGAACGTGTTGAGAATAACAAAACCTATTCCCATTTAATGGGTGGTAGGGGAGAACGTGTTGAGAATAACAAAACCTATCCCCATTTAATGGGTGGTAGGGGAGAACGTGTTGAGAATGACAAAACATATCCTTATTCAATGGGTGGTTGGGGAGAAAGTGTTCAGAATAACAAAACCTATCCGTATTTAATGAATGGTAGGGGAGAACGTGTTGAGAATAACAAAACCTATCCCCATTTAATGGGTGGAAGGGGAGAACGTGTTGAGAATAACAAAACCTATCCTCATTTAATGGGTGGTAGGGGAGAACGTGTTGAGAATAACAAAACCTATCCCCATTTAATGGATGGTAGGGGAGAACGTGTTGAGAATAACAAAACCTATCCCCATTTAATGGATGGTAGGTGAGAACGTGTTGAGAATAACAAAATCTATCCTTATTTAATGGGTGGTAGGAGAGAACGTGTTTTGAATAACAAAACCTATCCTCATTTAATGGGTGGTAGGGGAGAACGTGTTGAAAATAACAAAACCTATCATCATTTAATGGGTGGTAGGGGAGAACGTTTTAACAAGGAGTTTAATGTAAAAAGGCTGATTTTGGTACATAATCATAAACGCTTTGCATAATAAGCATGCTAGTTGACTGTTAGTCCCTGATGGTTTCACTACCCCAGTATCCCAGTACTGTTTTACTGTTGTTTTAATTATACATTGCTGTTATAAATATTTTATTATTATGATAGAACGTCTAGTGCCTGTGCTTCATACAAAGTTTGGAAAATAATAACCGGTAGTTCCGAGTAAAAAAAATATAAACGGTTCGTCGATCATTCTCGGACTTTAAACTAGTTGAAAGATCTATATTTGTTCCTTAAAATGAGTCAGAAACAACGATTTTAGGCCAAGGAATAACAAAGTTCTGGTTTGAAAACATATCATAAACATTGAAATTTTAAAGTCAGACACTTGCTACATGGTGGATCATCTGACTGGAAGTTTTTTGGACATACATATACTGAATTTGACGCAACTGCTAGCTTTTAACATGTAAGGTATATAAAATTAACCTACCTTCATAGCAATCAAACATTCTTATTTCTATCCTTTTCGATTTTTTCCCATTGAATACCAATCCTCAAACCTTGATAGAACCCACCTTGTAATGAATGAAATGAAACGAACGATCTGATATGTCCATTTTTTCATTGACCTTTACATCGACCAATCACATCTCTCTTTTTATTTCATATATATATAACAACAACTTGATTTGACCTAACTTGAAGCCAGTTATAAATTAACGGAATAACATAATAGGAACTTCGAAGGAATTCAAATGTGCATACATTTAATTAAGATCAATTAAATAACCACATTTATCGCTAACAAAACAAACAAAAAGAATATTATACAAATATATCATGCTTACAAGGGGTATTTGCCAAAAAATACCGGTTGAGAGGTAAACAAATTTCTAGAGCCGTTAGGCGAGGGAAATTTGTTTACCTAGAAACCGGTATTTTTGGAAAATACCCCTTGTAAGCATGATATAATTGTTTAATTCCACTGAATGTTCTTTGTATCCATCTTGACCTCAGAAATTTTATTGTAATCAGGTATCATATGGAGTTTCTACTTGACTGTATAATTTTTGTATATACTGCAGCTGTGCTATTTGCGCAGTCAAATTGCATTGGCCGTATAATAATTTCTGATCATTTTTGATGTACAGTTACTGACCGTATAGATATCTCCTTATTTATGACGTTGACAATGCGTTTCCGTTGAGTTTTATTTATGACGTCATTAAAAGTACAGGTTCGCGGAATTTTTACGTCATTCGCTCCAAATTCAATAATGATGTTTTTTATCCTAAATATTTCATTTGGAACAGTTGTAGGAGTTGCAGTGTATAAATAATAACCATAAATTTGTCCTATTAGAATAAAAATAATTCACTGGGTTATTTTTAGACATGGTATTCTCAATCTGCCATGGTATTTGCTAGCAAATACCGCGGCACATGGAATTCCCTAATGACAAATACACGGGCAGAAAAAAGAAAATCTTAATACATAGAAATTGGTGAAAAATACCATGTCTCTTGTCCAATCAAAATACAGCATTGTTATATAAGGTGGAATTAAATGATTAATAATACTTACCTTTATATCATCAGTATCCTCCAAATTTACACGGACGTTAGTTATAAATCCTTGATATTTACGTTTCGTCTTCTAGGTTAAAATTCCCGCCAAACAATATTCCTGCGGCCTGTTGCCATTTGGCCAATGTAAACGACATGTATTAAGAAATTTTCGGCGATGAAATATTTCATACAATTGTTCTTTGACATCTTACCAAAAGCACAGGGGATAATACACAATGTTCGGATTTCTATTGAGCACTATGTGCAACGTGAATTATTTTACGTTGTTCGACGATCATTTAAGGTAATTCTGGCCATATCTTTTGTATTCCAGAATTTAAGTATGAAAAAAGTGTCCAATTAGTTATAAATAACCTATTACCCTGCTAGATAATAACAGTGGCATCCAATTCAGCATTCGTTGGGAAAAAAGGCAAATCTAGAGTGCTAGCATAAGGCAACTTAACAGCCTAAAAACTGGTACAACTGTTAATTGTTATTACGTCTAGTAAATTAAGTTAGATACACAATGAAATCATGATAGGGTTAAGAGCTTGGCATCAAATGTTATACGGTCGTCAGATTAAGTTTGTTAACAAAAAAAAATAATCATGTATATGTTCATCAGACTACATGCACTTCACAATTCTACTTTCACTTTAATAAGTGCAAAATATTCAAGGGATCATCAGCCATGGAATGTTAAGAAAAAAAAAGAAGATGATTACGATAACTTCTATCCTCTAATCAGGATTCTGAGAATAACATGACCTATCCTATTTTATCGGGTTTACGCATGGACGTTTGAAAAAAAAAACGTTTATGTGATACGTCTACTGGTTGGCTAGTCCCCGAGGGTTTCTTCAACCCGGAAGCTTAATAGTTTTGTACTGCATGACGGTATGGATGTATTGTTTTTTATTGAAATTTGCTGTAGTTTTATTTTTTAGAACATTATTTTGAATAAAAATAAAATGCATCTCTGGTTTGGCTATACTAATGGTCATTTTCGATTATAATAGCTCTCCAAAAATGTATTTCGATTTAGGATTTTCAAATCTTATGGTCTCCAATATCATTGAGGAGATATTAATTGTAGAAATGAGCATCTGAAGCAGTAAAAACAGGTACCTTTAATGTTATAAAATTTACTTGATAGAATTAAGAGCACGGCGTAAAATGGTTTTCGCTCGTCAGAGCAATTTTGTTAACAAAAATGAATTTACATGAAAGGGAAATTAAAAACCTTTAGTCGCAGAACGATAGACATAACAGTAGATGAAAGATGAAAAGTTAAACATTGAAAATATGCTTTGCTAAAAATTGAATATCTATTGTTTGTAATATTGAGAAAATATGTACTTAAAACCCATTTGATAATTTTACAGGTAAAGACTACTGTGCTGACGCCTGTATAGGATATAGTAATTGTCCAGCAGATAGCTTTAAAGAATGCTGCCAGAAATATTTCATGTTAGTTTAAGTTAACAAACTAAGAGATATGATTTTCGTGTACACATAATATGTTTCTCGAATTAAGTTCATAATGTATCACTCTTGTTAGAATACGTCAAAATTATGCTCAAGATAAGTAACCACACATGAATGTATGTGTAGATATGTACTATGATCAATATTTAAGATATTAAATGGGAGGTCGAAACAAAATAATGATATATAGTGTACATGCAGACAATTCAACACTAGACACAAAATGTAAAATAAGTGCCACTACCCCCAAAAATGTAGTTAATTCAGACATGTGGGCAGTTCCTTTTCCTTTGCAGAAAACGAGCCAAAAATTGGGTCCCAAATCAACTGCTGATCAATGTGTTTTGAAAACATCTTATCCATGTTCCTGTCAAGTACATCATTAGCGATTGTCTCTTGTCCTATCTTCTTGTGGTGGTTTAAAGTTTGACATATTTTTAATAAACCTGTTAAAGCTTTAAATATTTACCTATCGATCATTATTGTCTCATTGATGTATAAACAAAATAACGGTCCTTTAATCAAAAGCTGGATCGGGTATTGCGTTCAAATGTTGTGTAGAATTGAAAATTACAATTAATGCTCTTAGATTAAGACGATATTGACAACTTCTAAGGTAATCATTTTAAATCAAGTCAATTCACATTTTTTGAATTCCTCAGAATGAAACCGTGATATTTGTAAATTTCTCGATTTTCCTTGTATTGTATCAACGTTTTTGTATGCTTTGGAATGGAAAAGTGTGTGCATAGCCAAACTACAACTTTATATAAATAGCCATTATGATAATTAATTGATGACACGCATTTTCTATATAGTCTGTACAAATAAAAACAATTTTCTTTGACCAGTTATTAGATATAGGAAGATGTGGTATGAGTGCCAATGAGACAACTCTCCATCCAAGTTACAATTTATAAAAGTAAACCATTATAGGTCAAGGTACGGCCTTCAACACGGAGCATTGGCTCACACCGAACAGCAAGCTATAAAGGGCCCCAAAAAATTACTAGTGTAAAACCATTCAAACGAAAAACCAACGGTCTAATCTATATAAAAACGAGAAACGAGAAACACGTATGAACCACATAAACAGACGACAACTACTGTAATCAGATTCCTGACTTAGGACAGGTGCAAACATTTGCAGCGGGATTAAACGTTTTAATGGTACCAAACCTTCTCCCTTTTCTGAAACAATAGTATAACACCACAACATAGAAAAACACACTATAAAATATCAATTGGAAGGCTTAGCTCAATCAAAAAACGTAAATAAACACACAATGAACGAATAAATTTGACCTGTGACACCTGAATGCAAATATACAGTTAATGAAAAATTACAAGGGATAAATAATTAAAGTCAAAATTAAATAAACAGGTTTAAACAAAGTTAAAGTATGATATCACTGTGAAATGTCAAATAATTTTTAGAAAATCATCACTTTTGAAAAAACCTGCGTCATATTATACACAGGTAAATGAAAATAATTTTGTTGTTAAGTATACTTCTTCATCTGTGTGTATAAAATCTTCCGTTTAGGAATACCAAGAAATTTCTTTAATATCAATAAAACTAATCTAACACTTGGTACATATGGGGTGAATATCAACAATAAAACTATACAATTAGTGCAAGATAAAACTTCCTGTACAGGCCCAAGAACAGCATCTAAGGAAAAATGCATGTTAAATATTCAAATAATACAAGCTAACAAAATACCTGCATGATTTTTAAATTTAGTTTAAAAGTAAATACTTAATTTACTTTATATTTTGTAATTTGATATTCACTGAGGTTTATATACTTTTGGTTTTTCGTTGTATCAGCTCCTCAATTTTTTCAATGGGTTTTGGATTTTCAAATATTTTGGCTTCAAGCAACACTGCAGAGACATTTTTTGTCAACATGCGCACTTATTGCATTTAGTACAGTAAAATTCGCACCATTACTGTTCCCCATTTCCATTCTCAATTTTATTATAGATTAACGAAAGCAATGATCTTATATTTCAGGGATTGATAAAGACTTGGCCCTTAACCATGAAGCAGACAGAAGACAAATTTATGTGAAAATATCTACATTTATAATAGAATAAAAAAAATTATATAATATTGATATTGTGCGTATGACACTTGTTTCTTGGATAACTTTCGACACTAAAACGTAAGGAAACTAAAGGGATAATTTAAACCCAAAACGCACCAAAAACAAAGCGGTTTATAGCAGTTGTCACGCAATGATTTTCTAATTTTTGCTAAATGCATGGTTGTTTTATTTGTTTTAAATTGTTAGATTAGTTTGTAGATGATTGTTTTGTTCTGTTTTTCCAATGACATATATACACAGAGATTGGTAACTCCGTGAAATCACGTGAAATCATGCGACCGGAATGAGAATCTCGCCGATGAACTACTCTACAAATCGGGAACGAATAACCCTCGATAAAAAACAATGGGAAAACTTACCTCAGATCAAATAATTTCTTTTCTAAAAAGTTACTTGAAAATCGTATTTATTGAGAAAAATATTTTCTTCTTATCGGCATTTCCAGAGAGACATATATACACAATACATAGACAAAATCGGATATTTGACAAAATACACAATACATAGACAAAATCGGATATTTGACAAAATACACAATACATAGACAAAATCGGATATTTGACAAAATTCCACTGGCAATTTCTTTTTTATTAATGAAAAGTTGTTTTATTTCTTTTCTAAACATGTTAATTGACTATTTTTGTTATCTTGCCCAGTGCTCTATTTCAATGAAATTCTGGTCAGGGTTTAAATAATATGTCTGCATTTGTTTAGTTGTAAAAACAATTAGCAAGCGATAATACCTTTAGAACTTCATCTTCGTCAAATGTCAGGTGATCGGAGAGCAATAAATTACGTAACCGCACACCTGTGAATCCACAAGAATTTTTTACAGGAGAATCGGACTTAGACATTATTTCACTGTGTAATTAAGGAGCACACTTTAAAATAGCAAAGAAATGAAGTACAGAAATGTTACTTGCCTTATCAATATCATAATTATTACCAGATTTTAATTTTAGAATAATTAGAAATGCCGAAAAGCAGAAAATATTGTTCTCAATAAATACATAAAAATAATAAATGCAACGTTTTTCAAGTGGCTTTTTAGAAAAGAAATTATTTGACCTGAGGTAAGTTTTCCCATTGTTTTTTAGTTATCTATCGATCGAGGGTTATTCGTTCCCGATTTGCAGAGTATTTCATCGGCGAGATTCTCGATTGAACGTGATTTCACGGAGTTGCCAATCTCTGTGTACATTTGTCTCTGGCATTTCTAATTATTTTAAAATTAAAATCAGGTAATTTCAGTCAAACTCTGTACTTCATTTCTTTGCTAAAATTTGCTTCTTAATTACACAGTGAAAGTTTGTCCACGTTCGATTATCCGGTTATTAATTCCATAGAGTTGTGATTGTGGATTTACAGGTGTGTGAGTACGTAATGTATTGCCCTCCGATCACCTGAAATTTGCCGGAGGTGAAGTTCTAAAGGGATTATCGCTTGCTTATTGTTTTTACAACTAAACAAATGCTGACATATTATTTTAACCCTGACCAGAACTTTGTTTAAACAGAAGCACTGGGCAATAGTATTCAATCAGGCAGACAAAATAGTCAATTAACATGTTTAGAAAAGAAATAAAAAAAAATTCATAAATAAAAAATATTGCCAGTGGAATTTTGTCAAATGTCCGATTTTGTCTCGTTGGAAACTGATTACCGTGACTTTCACCTTTAATGTTTACTTGGTGTTTCAACCGACAACGAGACTTTTTGCACCGTTAAAGTCCAGTACATAGCATGAAAGAACAAGCACTTACATTTTGTTTTCGGTCTAAATAGCCTTAGCATGCATGATACAAATTTAAGAAGTATTTGTTCGTACTCTTATATTATAGATTAATGATTACCACTGCTACAATCACAGTAATTTGATTCGGTCTTCAAATCCCATGGAAATAAGGAAAACATTATGACGAAACTGCATTATTGGTGGGGGTTCTCATATTAAGAACAATGGAAAATAGGGCTGAACACTTATATATATATATATTTATTCAAGATAAAAGGCATGAATTTGACAGATACAATAAATTACAATGACACAGATAGAGCACTAGACATAGTTTATAGACACTAAAATGATTTACATGTTTACTAAAAATTATAATTTAAAAAATAAAATTATGAAAATTGTCATATATTTTGATAATATGAATAGACTAGATTGTTAGACCAGAGACATATATACACAGAGATTGGCAACTCCGTGAAATCCCGTTAAAAAACGCGGCCCGGAATGAGATTCTCGTCGATAATTATTCTACAACATGTAGACAAGTCAGGGATGAATAACCTCGATAGCTAATCAATAAAAAGTAATAGGAAAACTTATTTCAGATCAAATAAATTCTTTTTCTAAAAAACTACTTGAAATAGTTGTATTTTTTTTTAATGTATTTGAATGAGAAAATATTTTTTTCTTTTTGTCGGCATTTAAAAAGTAAAATCTGGTAATGATCATGATATTACAAGAAACATTTCTTTGCTAAAGTTTGCTTCTAAATTACACAGTGAAATTATGTGTGTCCGATTTTCCGGTCATTATTTCCTTAGAGTTGTGACTGTGGATTCACAGGTGTGCGATTACTTAATTTATTGCCCTCCGATCACCTGAATTTTGCCGGAGGTGAAGTTCTAAGTGGATTATTACTTGGTAATTGTTTTTACAACTAAACAAATTCTGACATTATTTTAACCATGACCAGAACTTTATTTTAACAGAAACACTGGGCTATACTATGAATAGGGTAAACGGACAGAAAGTCACAGTACAAAAAGTCACAGGACATAAAGTCACAAATTGGATAGGACAAAAAGTCACAAATAATTTATTGACAATTGTTTGAATATATAAGAGAAAGATCTTCAAATAATATCTTTTTTTACATTTATTCATTTTTAAGTTCAGGAAATTGTTCATAAGCCTTGATAAATGAAAAATTATTAAATTTTAATCATGCAAATAATATATTTCTTGGCACCATGAAGCCATTTAAGTGCCAAACCACTTTGACATTTTGTTATCATAACAATTATTTGATCATCATTGATATTTATTGAATAAATTTTAATTACAAAGTTGCTTCATATATTATAGTTCAATAAAAAATCAAAAAAATATTTTTAAAATTAGTGTTTTCTTGTTCAGAGATAAATAATCTCAAAACTGAATTGTGACTTTTCGTCCGTGACTTTTTGTCCTGTGACTTACTGTCCTACATTCTACTATAGTATTCAATCAGGAACAAAAATAGTCATTTAACATGTCAAAAAAAGAAATCAGAAAGCAACTTTTTTATATAAAAAAAATATGTAGCCAGTAGAATTTTGTCTCGTTGAAAACGGATTTAAATGATTAATTTTTGATTGACCTACAATTACATTATTTGTGGAACCTTTGCATGAATTTCCTAAATGAACGTACATTATGTACAGTGTTGTCGAAATCACTATTTTTGCTGCCATGCAATATTGAATATGAATCTGTCATTATTTGTAGTTTTTTATAGACTTTATATCACAGACCCTGATTAAAAACAACGTGTATCATAAGTACAGTAAAATGCTCTGCTGAACTGTAGAATTTTAATGTTCTGTTTCATAGACCACAGAAGTACTGCAACATCCTTATCTTTACTCTTTCCTATCGGGTAGTGAAACTCGAGTTTGAAATTAGAAAGATTTAAAATTGAAGACAAGTTTTATCTGATCTTTTGTGGGTTTATGTTTCGGTGCAGTGCTATGTGGGCTGTTATTTTCTTTTCATTGTCATTTTTTTTATCTGTGTTACATGACCCTGTACTTTTTGTATTGCCCCTTGACATCTCCTGCTTCTGTTTAAACCTTTACCACTAATATCTCATCTGGTTTAAATAAAATAGTGTCTCATTCCCGGAATTTGTTATACAGGAATTCATTTTAATATCAGTTTTTTTATAAGCATATAAACTGCTTGGTCTCTTCACACAATTTATGTTTAGGACGGAATGCATCAATAGGTACCTTCATGTACCAGGTCACCAATATATAAGTACACGTTATGTGCTTTTGACCTCCACAAGAATTCTTAAACATTCATAGATGTGCAAAGAATATTTTTGTCGTTGGGTTGTTGTCTCATTGACATATACCTCACATTTCTGAATAGTCATAGCAGCTGTGCCTTTTCAATTTATTGCAGAAAATATTTGCATTAACATTTTTCAAAATAGGCGAGGTGAAACAGTGATCACAGAATGAGGACATGTAAAACTGAAACAACACAACACAACAGATAAATATAAACAAGCACCATTGCTAAAGGACTGAAACAAACATAGACGATGACTAATATGAGCGACTAGTAGTGTACAAGTAGAGTGAACATTTCTTGCTTCTTATTCTACACATTTTGTCATTTCATGTAAACAATTAAATATGTTATTTTCCGAGGAGAGGAAGGAATTTGTGAAACGAAATATTTTGCCTTTAGTACTGTCAAGTTATATATTCACAGGAGTGTTGTTGAATAAATGAACATTTTCCCTTTTTTTACATTATGCTACCTTTATGCTACAAAGGTAGCATTTCCATTCTCATGATATACAAAGATATAATAGAGTGGCCTTCCAATGATAGTCATACATGTAAATCATTGTCTCATTGGCAATCATACTACATCATCATATTGTTATACATGTATGTAAAAATTATGTACATGTATACTTTGTAAACGTAAAGAAGACAAATGAAGTTGAACACAAGATATTTATTTGCATTTTTATCCATATAGTCTCTGCACAACTGCCACTTCTGTTTCAAATTCAATTGATTGAATGCGGAGTCTTGTATTTATTCTTAGTTTAATGATGTCACCATCACTTGCACAGAAATCGCATACACATGTACATCAAGTTTGGCATATGAACTATGATATTCGAACTACAATAATGTGGTGTTTTCACAGTCAGGATAAGCACATGTCATTTTCTCTCTTACAAAACCATTTTTTAGTATCACATTGATAG